TCAAGATCACGGGTTGTGATCTCGATCTGAGTGTTATTGGGGCACAAATACAAATGACGAATGTGACTGTATGATGAACTGTGGGTGTGGAAATCAATGACAGTGGGCTAGTACTGATGGAAGGTACAATGCATGTGTGTTGGAAATGCCAAATAATGGACGATCAGGGGTACTGAACGGATGACTTGGTGCATGCAAGAAGGAACGAATTTTTGCAAGATGAATTCGGCCAGTTTGAGAAATTAATACGATGTATGTCACAATGCATGAGGTCTTCTGCAAACATACAAGTCATGTACCATATATTACAAATACTTACAGCATAGTGTTGTGTAATATTATGAATCTGTACATTCCTTTAAAAAAGTAGTCAGTAAAATAAACCATACACATATTCCTACAAAATGTCCGATTCGAACAAGATTGAAGCTATTGTTGAAGCTCATGTTGCTCCTGTATTCCAGCAGTTGCAAGCTATCTACGAAAGGCTGAATGAAGTGGACACACGGTTGTCAAGTTTGGAGCGGCAAGTCGGCGCTATCAAGCAGAACGTTGATTGGCTGACCGATGACAAATTGGCGGCGGACGAAGCGAAGTCTGATAAGACAATGGATGAGGACAGTCAGTCAGACAGTACGGACAACTCTTCAGAAGACGCTGCTGATGATGCAGCAGATATGTAGATTTGATTTACTTTTTTTTTATCCTTCCTTGTAAGCCATGAAAGTTTTTTTTTGGCTGGAGTCATATGTGCTAATGGGCTGATATATAACTTACCTACGAAGAGTATTGAGTTTTCATTCATAATGTGGTTTCTTTCATTTTTGAAAATTAATTTTGCCTTTTTTGTAATTAAATTATAAATTAACTTCGGTAACAAAAGCAGCCGTAAATTATATACAGTTACAGTCGCATTCATCCGAACAAGAAACATGCGTAAACAAAACAGTACTAAGTCAGCAGCCACGTCGACATGTTTGATCCATGTTTACATTTGACTTGCACTTTGCAGTTGGTCCATATTTACATCGTCCAGCAAAAACAATACTGGGGACCCATAATTAACATCCATATTGAAATCAAAGAATAAAAAATTAGTTAAAGTCCTATTGCCACCCAAATTAGTGGCGTACTGGCAGCCCATTCCCATCACTGGCCTAGCTTGTGGCATTGCTCATATGAAGGCAGTCCCGGTACTCTGCGATCTTTGCATTATTGACATCCATAACGATGTCAACCAACAACTTATGACGCACAGAGGGAGCGAACTTTGTCCACAAAAATCGTAAGACAAATCAGTTAAAATTGGAGGACGTACGAGGAAGGATTTGATTGACAAATGGAAATTAAGCGGTAGAATGTACCTTGTGTGGACCGGGGCTTAAATCAGGTTGCTGCATGAATTTGATGACGAACATCCCACAGTCAAACGTGCTACAAAAATAATTTCACATTAAAGTTGTCGTCAATACGTAATAGGTTCATTAAGTCAGTCATGCAGCTTAGACATTAATGTGAGGGAGGGATTGTGGATTACTCGTCCAGTTGTTGTACTGGCCTCTCGTCTAACATGCAGCGGTGGAAGGTACGCACGTCTGTAACATAATCATTTCCAAAGTGTAGTTGCAGCAAGTCGTGCATAGTTTCAACCTGTTCCACAAGGTTGAAGTTGGTTTACGTAAAGGATGTTCAAGTTTTTTGTAGTGTTCAGAAATGCACCAGAAGGACATACCAAAATTTTAGCTGCATTTAGCTTCCTTTTGTTCGGTCGGTTGGATGGGACTGAGTCGAATAGGTAGGCTACACGGTCCACCATATCAATTTTAACGCACAACCAATGCACTCCTCTGTAATTGAAAGGCATGTAAATCTACACGTAAACACAACGGCAGACCTTGTTTAGAGGCCATGCAAACATGTAATGGCTTTCATATTTTTGTTTTAATATAACGAGATGAACATTGATATTACCCTCTGGCATGTATCAATCGCACCAGTGTATCTGTCATGTCCGAAAAATGATGTGACGATATGTTCATGGTGCAGAGGTTGCATATCTTTATTTAGAATCAAAGTCTGCATGTGTAATGCATAAAGGTCATTGACGGAAACATTTGTCAAAATATGTCATACACAATACACAAAGTAGCTTTAAACACTTACTTACCGACAGATATACGGGAAATAACCAATCAGTGTGCCTCCCATCATTGTGTAAATCCCTCTGTCGATTAGTCAATTGCACCACCACCAAGTTGATTGGTTGGAACATTGTATGCAAGACACAAGGCAAGTTGATTAGAAAGGTTTCTGAGTTCAGGGGTACTGAAAAACGCAGATTCATATTTGTGCAGCCAACACTTACAGTGTCGGATAGCCACGACCCTGGTTTGAGCGTGCGCATGTCACGCCGGGTGCCAACTTCACATGCCCATCCATGAAGATTCATGGAAACAACAATGTCCCTACAAGCAATAAATGATCCTTAGAACGATAGTTATTTCACAGTGGACTGTCATTTAAAATTTGCAAGTAGTAAATGAAACAATACATTTAATTTTTGCTATCGTCAAATACATAGTGAAGAAGTTTTTGTTCCTTCGCTGATAACAACCCTTCGCTGTCCAACATCGTCAACGAGTCCTACAAAAATAAACAGCCAACTAACAGTACACATTTCATAAAAATATTGAAGCTTACATTACAAGGTCGGTAGTCATAAAAAAGAACGTGAAATGATGTAAAAACTGTGAGCCTAAGAGTTTTCCCAACTTGTGATGTTTGGTGCAGAGTTTGTTAGAAATGTGTACTAACATATGGCAGCAGTCATAACTGCAAACATGCAATTCTTTGACAACTAGTACAATACAACACAGATGATTGTAAAATTACTGATTCACATTATTGATGTGGGCATGAATTGGGTATTCAGAACTTGTGGGGTATTCAAGGCAGTATTTATACCTTGTTCACGTTGTCCACACCATCAACATCCACAGGTGAACTGCTGTCGTCAACTCCACTATTTGTTTTGCTATCGATGCACAATTGCATATCCCCGACCTCAGTGGCTTGAACTCCACTTCCGCGCATTTTTCCTTTTCTTTTCCTTTTCCTTTTCGTCTTCCCTTTGCACTTCCTCTAACGATTCCAGTTGCTCCCAATGGTTTGCCAAGCTTAGTAGGAAAAGTATGCACATCGCACGCCACGTTCTTCACGCCCACTGACTGAAGGTCAGGACTGTATTTATCTTCAGCTTCATATGTTTCCCCTGACTGAAGGCCTCCCTTCTTGTTGTTGTCCCCACCTTCTTCGATGTTCAGCTTGTGCCCATCATGCAAATGACTTTTGTCCCTTGCCAAGGTTCCTTTCAAAATCTATTGTTGGTGATCCACCCCTTGTACATCTGAAATATTACACTCCATTGGGTTAACTTCGTCAGATGGTTTGACCACGCCATCGTCATGCGCCTCAACTCCAACAGCAGGGTCCACACCATGTTTGGCCACGCCTGCTGGTTGCGGTGTAGAGAATATACCTTCGATGAGGTGGTGTAGCATTTGCTTCAGTTCACGTAAATTGGTTTGTTCAGTGAACGGTTCGTTGCAGCCCAAACTGAAACGTTGAAGCAGTTGCTTCAGCATTTCTTTCAGTTGAGCAACATTGGAGGAGAGGTTAATGATACACACATCATTACCTTCCACCTAATCATACATACACATTCGTGAACTTAGTCTTACAAACCATCTTCAAATGATGTGGCTCAACTGTGTGAAAATTGCGTAATGCTTGGATGGATTACCTTGTCATTGCCAACAACTTGCTTGCCTTCGAAATGTCGCAACATCTCCATTAAATCTGTTTGGTTGTGGAGAACTTGCTTCATCATTTCCTTCAGTTCGCGAATGTCGGACTTCAAATTGCTCATACAGACTTCATTGTACTGTCCTGTTTGTTGGTTCTCGACATGGCATACATCCATGTCAGCATCATCGGCGTTACTATAATCAAACTCCACCTAATCATAGAAACGCATAAATGAAGTCTGACATTGTATGTTGAAGACAAGTGGGTCGATGGTGTGAAATGTGCACAGTGGTAGGAGTGCTTACCGCAATTGTTAGGAAATTTTGCTTCCTTCTGATACGTCGCAGCGTCTCCCGTATTTGGGTATCACCCCAATAATGAAGCCGAGGTGTGGACCGCGTCGTAGTCGAGCTCAGACAAACACAATCAAGGTACAACAACTGTGGACATTAAGGGGCACACCATAATTAAGTTGTTCTTCCCACAAAAATGAACTATATTCAGTAACAATGACATTCATTATTCTCAATTTTGCAGTGGAACGTACATAGCATACCGATTTTGTTGAGGATGCTGTCAACTTTATAGGCACATATCATGCAATGTTTTTTGGGGAAAAAATTGTACAGCACACCAAGGACTTTATTGATGAAACCAAGAAAAAAAATTTATGTACATGTTCCCCTCTTCGCAACGTAGTTTTAATTAGTTCCTCCATTGAGGTCCGGCATACTTTTTGCCCTATACTCTTTGTTCTTAAATTCATGATGGTAGTCGCAGAAAATATATTTTTGCGACTACCATACTTGGTCAGGAAGAGTGTTGTTTGTCGTACTCACAAAGCAGGTACCATTGTATGTCCCAATCAAGGCCAATTTGTTGAACCATGACAGAACAATGCATGAAACAAATGAAGGGGGGAATGGAAAAAAAAATTCAAGGTATTGGCATACCATTAGCAGGAAAACACATCCAGTTGCACCGCGATGACCTTTATACTTACAAACACCGTTGTGAAGGAATTGCAGTGTAGACCAGGCAACTTGCGAAATAAG